CCACCTTGGGGTGGAAGCAGGAAGAGACTCCCCTTGTTTTTTGTTTGTTTGTTTACTACCCTGTTCTAAGCCTGGGTCCAAGTTTGTTTTCAGATCCTATGCCTCAGTACAGCAAAGCAAAGAAAGGCAAGATAACACAAAGGTTAAAACCAAGGATTCTGGAAGACAGAAGATCTGGATTCTAGTTTAGGTTACACTGTTTAAAAGCACCAGCAGAGAGCCCGATGACTTTAAGCGATCTACTTACCTTTTCTAAGCCTCAGTTTTCTCATCTGTAAAACAGACTTACGGGAAGTAACTGAAACATGCGAGACACCCTGACCGTCCCGTCAGAACCTCCTCGGAATTTCATGAGATGGCCTGTGACGGCTCAGCTATTTGACTCTGGGCTAGTTCCTCTCTAGGTGTCAGATGTTCCAAAGGCTGTGGGAGGAGGACACTAAGGCTCACTGGTCCTAACTTTGTGGAAGAGGCAACAGAGGCTCAGAGAGCCGCAGCACCCAGCTAGAGGTCGCCCAGCAGGTCGGCAGCGCGACATGGCCCTCCAGGGCGGGACTTACCCGGAGGAGCGTGCACGCCAGGCGGCTCACATTCCCGGAGGCTCCCGGCCAGGGGGCTCTACGAGGGGGATGGCCGGCGCACTCGCGCTCCCCGCTGTCGGAGACAGGCGGCTCCAGTTGTGACAGTGGCAACAAGGAAGTGGAGGCGAAGGCTCGCGCGCGCATCCCGGGGGCTGGAGGAGCCCCGGCCCCGCGGCCCCGCCCGGCAAAACTCGGCGCGGAGTCGCGACAGTCTCTCTCGTACTCCCTCCTCGGAGTCCTGAAATGGGTTCGCGAGGGCGGATGTAGGGGCACTGGTCCACTCCGCAGGCTCCTCACCGACTCCTGCCGAGGGCCCCGGGGGTCAAGCCCCGGGGAGCCTGAGGAAGACAGCAGGGACGCAGGCGTCGCCGCGGCACGGGTTTGGCGGTAGCGGGATCAGCACACCTCGGATCGCCAGGGAGACCCGTCCCGGCGGCCCTTGCGGCGCACCGGAAGCGGCCGGCAGCGCGTGACTGCATGCTACACCTCGCGCAAGCGCAATAGTCCAGCCCTTACAAGGGAGGCGGGCCACTAGGAACTGGTTAGAGGCTTGGAGAGGGGCTGCTAAAGCGGACGGACTGCTTCCGGCCAGAGGTCCCGGGCAGAGGAGGAAACTGTGGCTGCCGGCTGTGGGACCGCCCCCCACCCCCACCCCCGGCCGTTCAGCCCCCAGGCACTGCTGTGGGGAGTTCAGGTAACAGGGGTGGAGCTGTGCCGAGTTTGAGGAGTCGAGGCCCCGCTTCAATCCCTAGAGCCCTGTCGGGCGCCACCTTCTCAGCACGGCGTTCAAGGCCTGTCCCCAGCCTTCCTCAGTCTGTCCCTGCTCATTCAGGATAGAGTTTATACTTCTGAGTGCCGCACTCCAGTGATCTGCCCCCAATCCGTCTCTCCCACTGTCCCACGGATAGAAAAGTAAGTTCCTGTAGTGATTCAAGCCGAGCTGAATGACTGTGTGGAGAGGCTCCGGGAATTAGGTAGGAATTGGATTGTCTTTTCCTGCCGGTGTCACAGATTGTTCCACATTTGTACAAGTTCCTGCACGACCCTCCCTATCTTGCAAATGTCTTTTCAGTCTGACCACTCTCCATCTACCACTGTCATCAACCTCCTAGCCACCATCCCACATCCACTCTTGTTCCTCTACAACCTATTCTCTACACAGCAGCCAAATTGGTCTTTTTGCACTGAAAGTCTGATCAGGTCACTCCCTGCTTAAAACCCTCCAGTGTCTTCTCCTTCATTTAGAATAAAATCCAATCTTCTTAGCTTGACCAAGACTTTGTCTGGTTTGCCTATTGCTTCATTCTCTTTCCATGTCTCCTCAATATGGGTAATTCCCAGAACAAGCTATAACTCTGTAGTGTTAACAGTACTAGCTTTGTCATGAGCCTCCCTGGGTTTGAATCCCAGCGCTGCCACAAGTGAGCTGTTAAGCATGTAAAGGGTTTAACAAATTATGTTTACCCAGTAGATCCTCCATAATTGGTTCCCATCTTAGTGAATGGCATCACCATCCACTGGATTGCTCATTGTTCAACCCAGCAATGTGGGAGTTATCCTTGACTCCTTCACTTCACATCCCGTCCATCAGCGAGACCTGCAAAGATATGGCCCCAAACTGACTACTTACCATCTCTTATGTTACTAGTCTAATCCAAACCATCATCATCTCTCATCTGGACTCCTGCTTTTTCTCTTACACCCTTCAATTCTATTCTTCACACAGCAGTCATCTCTCTCTCCTTGCTCAAAATCCTTCAGTAATTTCCTATTGCACCCAAATTAACATATAAACTGTATATGGCCTAGTAGACTAGCCTGCTTTATCCTCAGATTTAGGGCCTCCCCTTAAGAGAATGGACTTTACGTATTAGGTTCTCTACCCTGCAACTAAAGGACTCTTTTTAAAATGCAAATCTGATCATGTCGTTCCAAAAACAAAACCAAAAAACCTCCACACACAATCAGTGGTGCTTGAACAACACAAAACAAAACAAAATGTCCAAAGACCTCCTATTGCCCCGGGATCAAACTAGAATCCTAACTAGGCCTTTCTGCGACTTGATCCTTGCTTTCTTCTCCAAAGACTTACATTTTCCTGATCATGACATTTTATTTTCTGTAATACTTCATTGTCTTTACACATATTTCCCTACATCACATGAATTCCTGTTTATTTATTCTTTAAGGTCCAACATTAAAATTGTTTCTTCTTTGAAGTGCAGTGCCACTTCATGCCCCACCCAAGTTGATTATCTCCACTTCTGCCTTCCTGAAGTATGTACTCTGTTACCTCTGTTATAGTATTTCACACTCTAGTTTTTGTCTTCCCTGCTTCCCTGGTAAGCTGCTCAATGGTGGGCACTATGTTCCATTCATCTCTGTATGGCTGACATCAAGCACAGTGCTTGACACACAGAAGATGCCATGAATAGATATGTAGATGTGTGGAGATGGTGGCAAAAAATCTGCCCTTGGGAAGAGGCAATCACAGCATAAGGTCATAGTAATTTCTCTTGTCCTTTGAGGACTCTCATGATAAAATGCCTAAGCAGGCATTTACCAAAACTGCTACTGCTGGATTGTGTATTGTTTGACCAGTGGTGGGGTAGATCAGGGGATGGTTGTTTGTTTTAAATTCTTAATAACTCTAGACAGAGCACACAGACCACAACACTCTCCAAATACCTTATCTCTGTTTCACTCACTTATGCCACCATTCTGGCCCCTAAAGGCATTTGAGTTTGGAGCACCCATCTAGGGACCAATACTTCAATCTGGAAGGACCTTATGGATCATCTGGTCTTGTGGTTTGCAATCAGAATCACTATGAGAGCTTTTCAAAAATATATATATATATATATTGGGCCGGCCCGTGGCTCACTCGGGAGAGTGCGGTGCTGATAGCACCAGGGCTGCGGGTTCGGATCCCATGTAGGGATGGCCGGTTGGCTCACTGGGTGAGCGTGGTGCTGACAGCACCAAGTCAAGGGTTAAGATCCCCTTACCAGTCATCTTTAAAAAAAAATATATATATATATATATATATATATATTTCCTCATGGAGATTCTTATTCAGTAGGTCCTAGGTTGGGTCTGGATATCAGATTCTGATATGCCCTCCCTGGTTGAGTCCATTTTAAAATGGGAGAACAGGCCCAGAGAGGAACCGTACTATTACCTGCCCCTCACTTCTGCTGTCATCTCTACCGGAAGTATCAGCAACAGCATCCTGATATCCTAATTGGTTTCCTTGTCTCTTTCATTCATTTTCCACTAAACAGCCAGAGTGGTCATTTTAAAATGCAGAACAGATCATGACACTTGTGTGAAAACTTTCAGTGGATATCTGTTGCACTCAAAATACCAACTCTTTACCACAGCATCTTTGAAATGTTGTGACTCTCCACCTTTTCATACACTTGGAGTCATGCAGATCTTGCAGTTCTTTGAATACCTCAAGCTCTTTCCTGCTTTTCAGATTTTGCTGATGCTATGCTCTTTGCTGGACTGCCCTTTCCCCTTGCTCTTTGTGGAGATCTCAGCTTAAATGCCATCTTCTCAGTGAGACCACCCCTGACCACCGTTTGTAAATAGATTTCCCTTTTTATTCCCTTTCAAAGTCTTTATTATCATCATAGCACATATCACACTCCATAATTATTTTATTTATCTTTTTAGTTATTGTTTACCTCCAGCACCACATTTTATAGTTCATAAAGGTAGGGACCTTGACTCTGTTGTTCACTGCTGTATCCTTACTGATTGGTACCTGTAAATATTCATTAATTGAATGTATGGCTACCAGAAACATCTTCCCATGGTGAAAATCTTTCCAAGTCGCATGGTGATAGAGCTTTGAAGATCTCATTTTAGTGGAGTTTCAAGCAGGACCATGGAGTGGCAGAAATAGCACTAATCTGAGTCAAGAAATCTAACCTCGATAGGCCCCTTTCCTGGGCCTCAGTTTCTGTATCCATAAAACAAACTGGATAATAACTCCTTGGATTTATAAGTGCATTGTTATTTGCAAAGCTCTTTCACCACCTATTATTTCAATCTATTCTCATAGTAGGCAGAACTGACATTGTTATTCCTATTTTTACACAGGCTCTGAAAATTTAACTAGATTATCTATAAGACCACTTCTATTTCCACCTTTCTGTCAATCTTTATAAGTAGTCTCTAACAAAAAGTCAGTAGCCTGAATCCTATCTTCTCTAGACTTTGGCCTTATATTATTATTTCCTAATAGGATTTTTAAAAATCCGAACCCATCTTTTAGGGGGACTCCATTATCTTTGTTCCCTGATAGGTACTCCATTTTGTCTTCTCAGTTTTCCACACTTGTGGCAAAACAAGCTGCGGGAGAAACGGACACAGCCCTGTTAGTTGTGGCCCAACCCTCATTCCCCGGAAATGGCAAACAAGGGGAACAAGAAACGTCGGCAGTTTTCCCTAGAGGAGAAAATGAAAGTTATGGAAGCTGTAGATTCAGGCAAGAGGAAAGGTGATGTGGCAAAAGAATTCGGTATCACTCCTTCTACTTTGTCTGCATTCTTAAAGGATCGTGCCAAATTTGAAGAAAAAGTGCGGGAGGCATCAGTGGGACCCCAGCGGAAGAGAATGAGGAATGCTCTCTATGATGACATTGATAAGGCTGTTTTTGCTTGGTTTCAAGAAATCCATGCCAAAAACATTCTCGTGACTGGTTCTGTCATTCGGAAAAAGGCACTAAACCTGGCCAACATGCTTGGCTATGACAATTTTCAAGCAAGTGTGGGCTGGCTGAACAGATTTAGAGATCGCCATGGAATTGCTTTGAAAGCAGTCTGTAGAGAGGATAGTGACAGGTTAATGAATGGTCTAGGAATAGATAAAGTTAATGAGTGGCATGCGGGGGAAATTATAAAACTGATTGCTGACTACAGCCCAGATGATATCTTTAATGCTGATGAAACAGGAGTATTTTTCAAGTTGCTTCCCCAGCACACACTTGCTGCTAAAGGGGACCATTGTAGAGGAGGCAAGAAAGCAAAACAGCGGTTGACAGCACTCTTTTGTTGCAATGCTTCAGGGACTGAAAAAATGAGACCATTGATTATCGGTAGGTCGGCTAGCCCACGCTGTCTCAAGAATGTCCATTCTCTCCCTTGTGATTACCGAGCCAATCAGTGGGCATGGATAACAAGGGATCTGTTTAATGAGTGGCTGATGCAAGTGGATGCCAGGATGAAGCGGGCAGAACGCCGGATACTCCTGCTCATTGACAACTGCTCTGCTCACAACATGCTCCCACACTTGGAAAGGATTCAGGTTGGGTATCTACCCTCAAACTGTACTGCTGTCCTGCAGCCACTGAATCTTGGCATAATTCACGCCATGAAAGTGCTGTATAGGAGTCACCTTCTAAAACAGATCCTCCTGAAGCTCAACAGCAGTGAGGATCAAGAAAAGGTGGACATTAAGCAGGCCATTGACATGATTGCTGCAGCATGGTGGTCAGTCAAGCAGTCCACAGTGGTGAAATGTTGGCAGAAGGCAGGCATCATCCCTGTGGAATTTACAGATTCTGGCACAGAAGCAGCAGCCAGTGAACTAGACATTGCCATTGAAAAGTTGTGGCACTCAGTGGCTATTGCCACCTGCATCCCAAATGAAGTAAATTTCCAGGACTTTGTCACTGCAGATGATGATCTCATCATCTGCCAGGAGCTGATGGACACAGAGATTATGCAGGGCATGGTGGCTGGGGAAAATACCGTTGAAGCTGGAAGTGAAGATGAAGGACAGGTATCTTTACCAGAGCAGCCAAAAATCACCATCATAGAGGCAATCTCAAGTGTACAGAAACTTAGACAGTTTCTTTCCACTTGTGTAGGTGTTCCTGATGTCATTTTTGGACAGCTAAATGGCATAGATGAATATTTAATGAAAAAATTGACACAAACTCTTGTTGATTCCAAAATTACAGACATTCTGCAAACAAAATAATGTAGAAATTAACCGGCTCTTTTACTTTAGAAAATATAGTTTACTACAACCAAATACACACATGAAGGAAAAAAAACAAGCAAATGTAATTTACAATAATAAAGATTTCTTTAGATAAGAAATTGAAGTAATTTAAGTAAACCAATATTATTATGACAACATTCCAGTACTCTGAAGTAATTTGGAAACTTCCTTAAATGGAATTTGGAAGTGGAATTTGACTAATACGCATGTTCTATTTTGATAATCCAATGGTTCTCAAACTTGTCTGCACATTTGGATCACTTGAGGATCTTTTAAAAATTCCAAAGCCCAGGCCACATCCGAGACCAATTAAATCACAATCTCTGGTGATGGGTCATAGGCATTAGTAGTTTTTAAGCTCCCCAGGTGATTCCAGTGTGCAGACAAATTTGGAAACTACTGGATTAACCACAGGAAAATCAGATACACTATGGGCAGGGAGCCAACTTCTTCCCAGTAAGTCTAGCTCAGTTGTTTCCAAATTTTAGCTCACATCAGAGTCACTTGGACGGCTTGTTAAAATCCAAGACTGCTGGGCTCCACCCCCAGAGCTCCTGATTCAGTAGGTCACAGGTGGGACCCAAGAATTTGCATATCTAACAAGTTCCCTGCTGATGCTGACATGGACCAGGGTCCATGCTTTTGAGAACCACTGGTCTAGCTGGGTTCTAGCACTTCCTTCTACTGGCCATCTGAATACTCCTCATCACCAACTATTTCTTTAAAAGAAAAAAAAAATCTACTGTTCTTACTCCAGGACTATTAACTCCTCCTTTCTGTTGATTTGCCTGAAGCACTACAAGATGTTTTAATAGGCATATCATTGATAGGGAGCTAAAGTACAGGGAAATAAAAGTGCTTTAAAGAGGAGACATGAATACTATCTGGGAGGGAGTGTGTAATAACAGAATCCTCTAATTCAGCATCTTGGGAGAGAACATACAGCCCAACGTGCCTCTCACTTTCTAGACAAGGTGAGAGGAAAGTTCACTGGAGAGCCAACATGCATGAGAGTATCTGGATCGTACCCTGATTTGGTTTATTTCCACTGCTCCTCTCAGTACCTGTGGATAATCTGGCCTGCACCATATCAAGATGAGGGCACACTGTATTTGCCCTCCACTAAAATGACTTCATAAATCACCTTTTTTCCTTTATTTTTGTTCTTCAGAGAAATCTGATAGAGTTGATTTTAGGTTATTTAAAATTCTAAATTTATAATTAGATTTATATTAAAGTTTTCCCCTATAGATAAGGCATTTTTAATATCCTTTATAACCCTGCTATCTATTCCTAATAAGTCAGATAAATGTCTGTTTTATTTTTATTTTTTATTTATTCATTTTTTTTTTTTTTTAATTAGAGATGACCGGTAAGGGGATCTTAACCCTTGACTTGGTGTTGTCAGCACCACACTCACCCAGTGAGCTGACCGGCCATCCCTATATGGGATCCAAACCCGGGGCCTTGGTGTTATCAGCACCGCACTCTACCGAGTGAGCCACGGGCCGGCCCCTATTTATTCATTTTTTTTTTTAAAGATGACTGGTAAAGGGATCTTAACACTTGACTTGGTGTTGTTAGCACCATGCTCACCCAGTGAGCTAACCGGCCATCCCTATATGGGATCCGAACCCGTGGCCTTGGTATTATTAGCACCAGACTCTCCCGAGTGAGCCATGGGCTGGCCCCTGTTTTAGTTTTAGAAGGCACACACAGTACCTGTTAATGCTGTGGTGTAGTACACCCACCCCATCAGGCTAATTTTGTGGATATTTCAGAAATCCATAGCAATTCAGTTATTTTTCTTTCTTTAGTTACTTAATTAAACATATACATAAAGCAGGTTAATCACAGAAAGTATTGCTTCCATAGTAAACAACAATCACTGAAAAACAGCAGATGTTTAAATAGATTTTTTAAAAGCTTATTTTGGATATTTTTCCTTTTAACAAACTAGTATGACAATATAATTTGAATTAAAAGTACTATATATATTTTAAATTCTTAACACCTAGGAGAGGAAAACAAAGTTTTTGGTTAAGTCCTGTGGCTATAGCTCATCATCAGCTCCGTAATTGCTCTCATCATCCACTTGTGTCAGGATTACTGACAGTTTCTGATTCTGTTGTGGCTCTCAAAGGCCCACAAAAATAAAAGAATATTCATCTGAGTTTTAGTGCCCTTTACAGTAAACTACCACCTGCATTTCCAGCTTGGTTGCTCAGTACAATTCAATGTGAATGATGCTCCCTGAATAGGTCATTGCCTTGTTTCACTCCATACCCATTTCCCTTTGTGTGCCTTTGCCTGAATATCTTGCCCTATACATTCTTCAAGAACTAACTGGAGTACTCTTTCCTCCAGGCTTTCTTGAAGACTCCAGCATTTACTTCACCCTTCTTTCCCTCATCTCTTCAGCACTTCTTGTCTGTGCCACTCAGTTAAACACTTAAATGTTTTCTCAATGTTTTGTGGCTCTTCAGACTATAAGCTTCATGAGAGCAGGGACCAGTCAGCCTTTTTAACCTTAATGGTACCTGGCACTGTGCTGGGCACGTCGTAGGCACATCAATAAACATTTGTGTATAAATTTATACATACTTGTGTCACATGTGTTCGACACCTTATTTTTAAAGCTGTTATCAAACATTGATTCTACTAGAATATGGCTTAAAGGTAAGGTTGTACTCCATTTAAAAAGGTTTACAAATTTTTTCCGTGAGTATCATTGCCTCAAATATAATTCCAATCTGGGTTATAATCAGTTCTTTGATAATGAAAAATTCTAATATAGAGAGTTAAATCTGTGTCCTTCCACTGAAAAGTCATTGCAGGATTTTTTTTTTTGGCCTCCATTTATTCACCCAGGACTTTAGTATGAAAGGCTTTGTCTCAGTGCCTTGCACATAGTGGGTGTTCAATAAACATGTGCTTAAACTTTCTTTAAAAAAAAAAGAAAAAGAAATCTAACATTCTTTATATCCTGAGAGATGGAAATCATATCCAAAAGAGAAAGTTTTTGCAGTCTATTTTACACTAACTAAACCTTTGATTCTATTGAAAATTAGGGTTTTTCATTTGGTACTTTGTTTTTTAAACTAAAAGAGGTTGATATATCCCTTTTTGGTCTTCTCTCCTGATCAAGCCCTCTGTGTCTTCTCCCTGCCTCTCTGGTCACTCCAACCCACTTGAGTGGCAACCCCACTTATGTCCCAATAATACTCTCCAGAGGCTGGCATGCTAGGACTAGGCATCTACCTCAATTGTGGTGTCATGAGGATAAAATTGCATAAAGTATTTTATAAGTGCTATTGTCATTACTCTCTATCCCTATTTGGAATTTAACCAGTACCATCTAGAGTCGGGAGCCTGCCTTACCAACCTTTTCTTCCATTAACAGATCTTGGGAGTGTTCCAGAGTCACTAGCCTGATCAACAGATGATAATCCAAGGAGTTTTCTTTGCCCTCTTACTAAGATGGACTCGTTCATTCAAAAGGAAGCAAGCTGAGATTTACTGATTGCCTATTATATGTCCAATACTCTTTCACTTGTAATCATTAATCTTTCTAGCAAATCATAATGCAAAAACACATATAGGCTTAGATAATTTAATTCCAAGGTTGCAGACCTATTAAGCAGCTGTTTGTACTATCTGAGGCCAAAATTATCTTTAAAGTAGTATATGATAGCATATCCCGGGCACCAGAGGGCACAGGTGAGCTACATAAGGGAGACGGCTACTGAAGAAACAGGTGCAACCACTTGTAATTTCTCTGATGTAGTAGAGATTGAGAGGGAAGGAAAGAGGGAAGACACATAAGACGTAGGGCTTGTTCAAACTAATCTAGAAATAACTGCCTGAGACTACCTAATCCACCCCATTACAAGCTGTCTCTTCACTAGAGAGTTTTTCCAACCTATAGACCTTGGACAGATATGCTCTGGAGGGTCGGCCCGTGGCGCACTCGGGAGAGTGCGGCGCTGGGAGCGCAGCGGCGCTCCCGCCGCGGGGTCGGATCCTATATAGGGATGGCCGGTGCGCTCACTGGCTGAGCGCGGTGCGGGCGACACCAAGCCAAGGGTTGCGATCCCCTTACCGGTCACAAAAAAAGGAAAAAAAAAAAAAAAAAAAGATATGCTCTGGAAATAAGCCAGTGTTAGAAAAATAATTATCGAACAAACATATCCCTGTTTGCACTAATAATTTATTGGACCTTACACCCACCACTGGCTATAGAAGCTCTAAAGATAAAGTACATGGCCCTACCCTCAAGAAGCTCAGTAGAGGAAATAGATGGGGGGAGGGGCGGGAAGTGAGTGGTAAATGGGGGGGCAGGAAATGAGTGGTAAATGCCATTTTAGAGACTATGCAGAAAATACATAGGAGTACAGAGGTGTGGAGCCTAAAGAAGCCCCTGAATGAGAGAAGAGGAATTCAGTAGGAAATGTTGCCAAGAGCAAAGGACATTTGATAAGTATTTGGTAGGAGGAATAGGGAGTCAGGCAGATGGGGATGGGAGGCAACCCCTGGCAGAACAACAGCATATATAAAGGCCTGGAGTATTTTTTTAAATGGCCCATTTGGGAACACAGGCCAGTGACTGGTATGTCAAGCAAAGGATGTGTGGCAGGACAATATGCTAGAGACGTAAGCAAGGGCAGAGTTTTTAAAGTCTTGTAGAATGGACCGGTTTTTTTTGGGGGGGGGGGGGTGGTTTTTGGGCCAGTGACTGGTATGTCAAGCAAAGGATGTGTGGCAGGACAAGATGCTAGAGACGTAAGCAAGGGCAGAGTTTTTAAAGTCTTGTAGAATGGACCGGTTTTTTTTTTGGGGGGGGGGGTTGTTTTTTGGCAGCTGACCAGTATGGTGATCTGAACCCTTGACCTTGATGTTACAAGTCTGTGCTCTAACTGAGCTAACCACTAAGCCATTAATTTTGAAGTTATCCTGAAAATACTGGAGAACCACTAACAAGTAGGGTCAAATTTTTTTAGTAAAATAATTGATATGTAGTGTGGAAGCTAGATTGTAGAGAAGCAGATAAACCAGTTAGGCTATGGCATAGTCCTGAAGAGAAATAATT